TTTATTATTATGCTAATTTCATCATAGGGTACCAATTTCGGACGTTGTAGGGGTGTGTGACACCCTCTATCCCAACATACATATACAGTAATTATAAAAAAAATAAAATTTTTCATCATTAAAAAACCAAATTTCCAACCACGTAAGGGTAAAGAGTTCACATTCATAAACTTAATCCAAATAACATGCAGGTAAAATTACAAAGAAATAAAACTGAGTTTTTCCAAAATAATTTAATAAGAACATCTTAAACTAATCTTATCTATGCCCCGATGTCACATGTCCTATCAGAGAAAAGTCCATCATAGAAGCCTAAGCTTCATCACAACATCCTCAGCCTCATGCTGATGATCACCTGTATAACAATCAAAGAAAAACAACACGAGAAAGGGTGTGAGAAACATATGACTCTGGCTCATAATGTAGAAGTATACACCGGATAGCCAAACACAAACAAAACAGGTATAACATATAGATAAATTAATAATAACATCACATCTTACTCATCCAAGACATAAACCATCACTTTATCATATAACATTAAAATGCACATGTATGGACACTGACTACATTTTATCATCCATGTGGCACCAGTAACATATCACATGGCATATTGTCGCTGGCAATACACAAAGAGTAGTCTAGGAGTACATGCTGGGTCACACCCTCTGCGCACTCTCACTAGAAGGACATACTACTTGGGTTTCGTCGGGATAGCTAAGCCGCGCAAGATACATCCCATGCACACAATGGGCGAGACTGAGACTTACAATCTGAGCTATCCCTAAGGACTAATTCCCAAGCTTTTACACAAGGGAAACTTTCCTAGCGGTGTATTCCATATCGTACCCTTAAAAACCTTTATGCAAACGATGCATGTCAATCAAAATTCTGTACATTCTCATATCACATTATCATGTTTCATCATCATGTCACATCATCATGTCATATCATCATGTCACATTGTCATGTCACATCGTCATATCACATCGTCATATCACATCATCATATCACATCATATTCACATAGTCTCCACAAAGCACTTTAATTCATATCAAAACTTATTTATTTATGAAAGTAGACACATATTCATACACCTCATTCAACAAGGAATACAACAGAACAATCAGACAGCAAAACAAAAAATATTAGAAATTTGTCTGTTCCTCAAAGGGTTTCCCGTAGGAACCCATAGAGCACTTTAATTCATTAAAACATTTTTATTCTCAAAATTAATCACATATTCACACATTACATTCAACAAGGAATACAATAGAGTAATCAGAAAACAAAACAGATAATATTCATATTTTGTCTGTTTCTCATAGGATTTTCTCAAGAACCCACAGAGATCTCAAATCATACAATTATTTACATATAAAAAGAGCAATAGAAGAAACATATATAATTAGGAAAACCCCCTCATACATGAGCATACAATAAACTTAGGATTAGGGGTCAATCCCACTACCCAACATATATTCCCACGCCCAAAGCGAGGTTTCTCACTCCCCCTTACCTTGATAAGCAAGAGCTGAAACTAAAGCCAGATCTTACTAGCTCCCTCCTCTAGGTTCTCTCTTGGTCTTTAGAGAGTAAAAGAAAAAAGAGATCAAAAGTGAAAAATGTGCTTTTGGGAGTGCCGAAACGTTCTATTTATAGGCATCAAGAGTGGCCAGAACAACCCGTTTTGAATCCAGAACGACCCGTTTTGGATTCACTCGTCATGCTTAAATTTCACATTCAGAACAACCTATTCCAAAACTAGAATGAACCATTCTAAAGTTACATTTTACCCACAACGGCCATGTCTGGAACGACCTGTTCCCAAATCGAAACGACCCGTTCTGGCTTCGCATTTTACTCATAAAATCCTGAGTTGGAACGACCCGTTCCAATATAGTCTTTATAGGCCATTTAAGTAGTTTGAACGACCCGTTCCAGTTTGAGAACAACCCGTTCAGAGCTACTAAAAATCAAAATATTATCAAAAAATAATTTTCATAAATATTTATTATTAAAATACTCATAATTATTAAAAACCTTTAAAACATTCTAGAAAACCCATAAAAAATATAAGAAATTAATCTTCATAAATATAAAATATATAATAATTAGTCATTATACTAGTAGAAAATTCGGGATGTTACACACAACTTGTATTCTAAGAATTTAAGTTCAAAGAGATGTTACATCAAATTGACCATATTTTAAATTTTAAATATTAATTGTTTCGTCATTAATCACTAAACATATTTAAACTATTTTTAATATTTTTATCTTACAATAAATATATAATTGATCCCATTATAAGTATAAAAGTAAAATACAAACAACACACTTATTTTAATAAAACTTTCATGTCATCTAGATTTTTTACACATATATGCAGTCCAAATAATAATATTAAACAAAATCATCTTCAAAGATATTAAATTCATACATATTGTAGTGAACATAAAATTCAAAAGCTAATGTAAAAAAATTGCAAAAGGGAAGCACGCGTATATGTTATTGATGGCAAAAAATAAAAAATAAAAAATAAAAAATCACATATATAAAAAAAATGAATGTAGAATGTAAAGGGTGCGACAAAACAATATTAAACTATATCAAAGTCATGTTTTTATTCTTAAAATATGATTAAGAAAAGGAGATAGGAGTTCATGATGTGCTTCATGATGGTAGATACTTGTTCGTGGCAAACGTGTTTATAATGTTTTCATTTGAAGCATACTTGCTTGCGGGTTTGAGGTGGGTATTGCTGGTATGCGATTGGCGTACAGTGCAATGGTTGATTCATCAAGAGTATTTCCAAGGTCCCCTTCAGTGACACATCGTGGATGGTATATGCGGTGATTGGACTTTTTTTTTTCTTTTTTTAGGGTGGTTCCTCTATGTGAGAGGTTTTGAAATTTTTTTAGAGAGTTGAAAAAAAACGTATAGAAGACCAAAGTGTGCTGCCAAAGAGTGACAACTAGCTTAGCTTGCAGCCCCAAAACCATTCTGCACGCATGGCCCAAAAGCCAAATTTCCTTCGCTAATATATAAATTGTAAAAGTCATAGAGAAAGCCATACTAACTGCAATAATCAAAATAGAAGTCCAAAGTGTGTTGCATGTTATTGTTAGAAAAAAAATATTTGTTGATATAGAGGAAGATTTGGCTTCCTTCTCTCTTTGTCCTCTTTTGATTTTTTCTTAGATATATATATATATATATATATATATATATATGTATGTTTGTATATATATGTAGGTATGCATGTGTGTATGTATATGTTGTTTATATGGATTTGGATTGGATTGTGAAAATGTGGATTTGAATT